ACCCCCCTTCCCATTTCACAGATTCTAGTCGTTGCACGAATGGGATGAATGAATCTTCCGGGGGAGAGGCTGCACTCATTAAAGGAGGACAGTGGAGCACGTACCAAGCCATCAGATAGGTGTATGGCCGTGGCACCCTGGGGTTGGGAGTTTTGAAAGTCTTGTGACCCCCAGACTCCACCTCTGTAACATCAACGAAGTCCGAGGCTAACTCCCGCAGTCCATGCTGCAAACAACTCACCATAGCATGAAGGAGGCTCACAGGTTTCCCATGGGCCAAAAGAACAGCCGGATAGATCACCTCAACAGCGAGGGCGTCGACCGGCCTAGTAGGAACGACGCAACGCTTGAGCCACAGCATCAAGAACCCAGCCAACAGCGCTGTGTCGGAAATTAGAATCAGAGCTTGATAATGGAAGCTTTCAAACTCTGTATGAGCCGGGAAAACATCTTCCTTGGCCTCATTTGTGTAGTGGGAGGGAGCATTGTCGATGCGGGCTTGAACTTCCTCCAAAGTGCTTGCAGATAGTCTGGTCACTGAGGCTCCTTTATTGGTCAAATTCTGGAATAAATATTCCGCCCAAGATACTTGTTTAATGCCGCTTCCTCGAGACCCCGTCAGCTGCATGCAAATGTGAAAGTGACACATGACTTCCCAAAGGGTGGAATAAATTTCGGGGTTGGTCTTCTTCAAAATTTTAAGTTCGGCTGATCCCGGAACAAACTCTTCGTACGACAAATCCCCAAGAAGAAGACCCGAGACTTCATGCATCTCGTGAAGAGCGAAACCTAACTCCCCCACGGGGGTGAAGAAAGTACAAGTCTCAGGATTATACTTCTCCAATATGGAGAAGAAATGAAAGTGGCTCTGAACAATCCCGAACTTAGTAGCCCGCACGGGAATCTGCAATCCAGCTCGGGCAAGAGGGGTTTCCAATTCATCCAAAACGAACTTGGTCATCCGGGTCCACCACCCTGTCACCGGAGAATGAACCCAGCCAGGAGTTCTAAATCCTTGCGCAGGAAATTCTCCTTTCTTCGCCACGAACCTCTTGACAAAGGTATTTGCCGGACTGGCCACCTCGCCAAGGGGATACTCCTTAGCAAATAAACCTGACCGTAAAGCTGTCACCTGCCTGTTGTAACCGAGTGTGCGGACCCCATGAAAAGTCAGAGTTCCGAGAATAACCCCATCCTGATCCTTAACCAGAGGCCAATCCATACGCCGTGGGATGGAAGCACACTGGAAATAAGAGAGTGGGAACATCCTCTCCATATTGGGCAAGAAAAGGTTGCGGTCCCCAACTTTCCGTAGCCACTTGTAGTCCCCGTCGTAAGCAGCATCCGCCTCGAAGTCAACAAAATCCCCGAAGAGGAATCCAGGTTTGACTATTGGCTTACGGCTCGGATTTTCAAGTCGACTAAGGGTCTCGGGAGAAGCTTGGGTGATCAGTTCCACGCGACTCTTTTCCCTAATTCGGAAAACGGGGAGTTCTTGGCGCCGGTTGAATGTCATGTTCATATCCACACCACCTTCATGTCCAAAATGGTGGCGAAAATGAAGAGGTTGACTGGTATGACGTACTGCAAAATAAAGAAAAATTTAGACAAGACAAATACAAAGCCCAAACGCGAAGGTCGACTCCCGCGTCAGATAAGCTAGGATGCGAAGGTCGAACCTAGTGTCAAAAATCTCAGACACGAAGGTCGAACTTCGCGTCAGAAAGTTCAGACGCGTAGGTTGACCCTCGCGTTAAGAATCTGAGACGCGGAGGTCGAACCCCTCGTCAAAAAGATTAAATGACGGAGTCTAGCCCCGCGTTATTGAAACGAGTCTCCTCGTTGATCTAAAGATCAGAACTTGCCGAAACAAGTTTAATGACCACGGAGGTCGTACTCACCGCCAATCAAAGGGAGTTGAGGCGGCAACCGACGCAGACGGCGTCGACCCCTGAGCCGCGGCGACATCGGGCTGGGAAGGACGAGAATCAATCGGCTTCTTGGGTGCCATGAAATCTGGTCGGAGGAGATGAATAGTTTTCGCCGGAGAGAACGAAAATTTTTCGTTGGAATTTCAAGAAGAGTCGGGTGACTCTTGATTTGACCTCCAGCGGTCTATTTATAGACAGCTGTGAGCTGTCAAATCATAACGGACGGGATTCGATGCCAGAATCCCGTCTAAACTCGACCCTAGCGTTCGAGTTGGTTGAAATTCCAAAACGCTGAGCTCACCCACGCGTTTCAATTCTTAAATGCAGAAGTTATTTGGACAGCTATAATAGCAACTTCTTAACTACCAAGGCTATCACAATCATCAAGGCGACCAAAGCCGGGGAGAAACAGGCGACTCCGTTGGGGAGTCTATTGGAGAAGCGCAGATAGATTACAGTCTACAACATTAGAATCATCTGGCTCGATCAGACGGAGTGAGCAATCAATTCACTAAATTTTGGGATCCAAAGTATTCCGAAAATTCGTCCCAGTCAACCGCGAACTTTCGAAAACTTTGAAGGGGGTTCTGTAGGCTGTCTAAAAAAAATCACAATAGATAGCTGATCTTTATCAAGCCCCGACGATGGAAGTTACAATCAGACGACTTTCTAATCATTGTATCTGTAACTCTGCAACCGTTATAAACACGGCCTCATTTCTGAAATGATTGATCTTGATGGCTGCGACAACAGCATGACTAATATTATATTAGCAACTATTAGAGATGCTGATGAGCAGTGTAATGATTTTAGAAATAAAGGGTTGGACTTAGTTGGTGAGTTACTTGGTAGAGAGCTGTGGGCAAATATTCATCTAAAAATCACTATGGATGTTTGATTCCCGTCAAGTTCCAACAATGGAAGCTACAATCAAATAGTTTTCATGCCGACGAACGAAAGCTGCAAATAGAGGACTTTTCACATAGATCGAGAAGAGTTACAATTCAACAGCACTTCCGACAACTAATGAAAACTCTATTCAGCAGTCTCCACAATCTACAGTGAAAGTTACAATCTGACGACTTTCACATTCCACAACAGCTAAAGCTAGGATTACTGAACAACGGTCCTTGCAACGCTCTGTAGAAGAGGTTACAAATCAACTAATCCCTTCTAAAACGCTGAAGTCACCCCGGCGTCACAATTTTGGAAATACAGGCAACCCCGCGTTTCCAAGCTATAACAAGCCAAACGCGAGCGACCCTCGTGTTCATTGGTGTTCAGCCAACACCCAACACCGCGTTTCCAAGCTATAACAAACCAAACACGAGCGACCCTCGTGTTCATTGGTGTTCAGCCAACACCCAACTTCGCGTCTCAATTCTAAAAGGCGACGTTGGGTTCTGAACACCAGATTGGGCGTTTGACTCGTTCGAATACGAGTCGAACGGTTTCAAAACTGTTTCCCCACGATCTGAGGGAATCACGCCCACTTAGAAGCGGATTTAGAGGGTAATTACAACCTCTTATCCACCTATAAAAACTCAACAAACTCAACTGAGTTAGGGGCTGGCTTTTTGGTACGAAGAAGCAGCAAATTAGATCTTCAGGATCTCAACTGCACAGAGAGGCGGGAGAGATTCAAAAAATCCTTGGAGATAGGATTTTTGAATCAAGTCCAGAAGATCAAAACCGAAGAGATTCTTCAACAACAGAATATTTGCTTGGTCATTAACCGAATTTTCGGTTCTAACAACTCTATTCACAGAGTTCTAACTCGTTCAGAGTTCTTAAACTCGTACAAGAGTTACTCATAAAACTTTCCACAGAAGTTCATCGTTCCCACGAGATAAAAGACGGTCGGATCGTCAACGGAGAGCAAATTCGACGCGAACAATCGAAGGAGGCACTCCATCGCTACCTTGAAGAACCCAGTTTTAAACAAAGGGGAGAATCAAATTCATTCTCCTCTTTTGTAATCGAATTGTAATCGGAATTAAAGAAATACAAGTCAATTTTTTTTTGTTCTTTTCATTGCAATTTTTCCAACAAACACTATCAATAACTTTTTATTATTTTTTATTAGTTTATTTATATTTTATTATTATTTATTATTATATAATACATTATTAACATATTAAATACTAGTATTTAATAAGCATGTTGATAATAACTCTATATTAATTACATTTAATCTATTATGTTAGATATTATATTAATACCTTCTCAAACTCAAAACCAAAACATCAAACTTAAAACACCTAAAAGGGTGTTTTGAAATAGGTGTTGTGTTTTTGATTTGAGGATGATTTAGTTCAAAAAACACAACGGTTTCTAAACGCATGGTGTTTCGTTTTTGGCAAAAACACCATGAAAACAAGTAAAACACCATAGTATCCAAACGGAACCTAAGGAATCAGATCTGGGATTTCAATTACTTGTTCTTGATCATGATGTATGTGCCATCACAAGATACGCACCATTAAACCACAAGAATATGTCATGTCTTGCTCATTGATGGAAGAGAGGAGAATAAGAAAAGCGACCAGCACATACCTTACAGACACAGACAAGGTTCTACATAGTGGTTCAATGACTCGGTAGAGTTTTAGGTTTTTAACTATGAAGGTGGTAAAAGAAAACATACAAGCATCTCACTAATCTCAACATAAAAGGAAAAAAATTGTATAGTATGTACTTGCTACTACCATGCCCCACCCCACCCCCACCCCCCCAAACAAAAAGAACACACGCACTCCCTCTCCATCCCTTCCCATAAATAACTTATTACTAGCAGGTAGAAATGATATAATTGTAAAGGAGTATATGTCCATGGAAAATTTCGGGATTACTTAAACCCCCCGTAACCAGTTGATTAAACTTAACAGTATGCGTGTGTTCACATGCGTGCGCGCGGCACACACGCGTGCACACAAACACATTCTATCAGACAAGCAGAGCGTACAGAGTAAAGGAAGCAACACCATTCAAACCTCTGATCTTGATTTAAGCATAAGGGCTAGTATATTCAATGTTTTACTATGTACAGAAGCATATAACTAACCAGACCTGGGTACCCAGGGCTTTCAATAGATTCCCTCTTTCTTTTTCCATCTGCGAGCGAGCCCTTCCAAAACACAATGCAGCTTTTGACAATGTAGTCCCACTGGTGCAGGTATTCTCAACGCCATATTTTCTACTATCATCAGATAGTTTATTACCTGTGGAGAAGGTAAATAAGGAACATATATACATATATATATATATGACTGAATTTGGAGTGCAAAAAGAGCGCAACTTCCAACAGTATACCTATTTCAACTTGTTTGGATCCGGTAACTATATAGCCTTCCACACCACGGACAATATCCCTTTGAAAATGCTGAAGAATATATGTACACTATTATAAATGAATCATGCGAAAAAAAGAAAGATAAAGAAAACATCAGTGCGCGTGGGAAAGGTAGATGTCGATGTCGAACCTTGCTTGCTCTGGTTGATATGTAAAGCTTCTCTAATTTTTGGTGTTGGTGAAGTTCTGCCTCATCAGTAACTACATTGTCTGAATTTCCATACCCACCACCTCCGAACTGCTTGAGAACAGCCTGCAATAATATTCTAAAGCGTGATAAAGAATACCTTTGTGAATCATGATTACAGTCCATAATCATCACCTGGAGATGGGTGTAGGAAGTAACAAGACGACTAAAACGAGTAAACGGTATAAAGAGACTGTTGGTGTCCAAAGAAGAATATTTAGCACAGATGCATAATGTTGGTTTGTCTTGCATTTTATCGTTCAACGAGTTCCATGTGATCTAGCAAACACAAAATGTTCCTTTCATCGAGGCTACGTATAGTACAGATGAAGTGAGCATGTAGTTGAGGGTCCAAACATCAATGCACTGATTCATATAGCATCAAATTTGTTGCTGATGGTCACAGCTGTTGCTTATTATCTATTGTTTTATGGAATTAGTAGAGAAAAAGGAAACTTGGGTGACATCATCAACGATAATATGCATAAACAAAGCTGCTAGACATTTAAATAATAATAATAATGATAACAATAATCCTCTAGCACTAATGCTTGTGATGCTTAAAATGTCACATCAGATCAAGCCTTCGTTTGCGTAAAATATCAAATCAGGGAAGAAGTACACAAATACTGGCACAAGAATTCTCCGGCACTGCCAAGATGAAGAACCAGGTTAGTTGGTAGCCCTAAAGTGATTAGACAGAGACAAGAGCCATAGGTACTCTAATCTCATCTCATGCCTCCTTATGTCGAAAAAAAATTATTCGAATACTGAGCACCTTCTTATATTACGGATAACCCAGTCACACCCAACATATCTAATAAACGACGGCTGTTAACAAAACCAAATTGAGGAGGATGATTCCTTGCGCAGATCTAACAATTTTACATCCATCCTGATAACGGGGGTTTCCCCCCAATAATTAGACCCAATGGAGCAAATAGAGGACCGGACCGGAGAGGTAAAGTTTCCAAAACCCTAGGCGAAATAATTATTCGAATACTGAGCTGGTAGACTAATAAGCGAAATCAACAGATCTGGAAATACAAATGGTAATTAAAAAATAAAGCGAGAAAGAAAATCTAGGATCGGTCAGAATGAAGCTAGGATCAGTCAGAATGAAGGGCAAAGATGACCTGCTGTTGCTTGGCAACCTGCTCCCTGAGCTTGGTCGCCTGCTTCCTGATGGCGTCCATTTGCCCTCCTCCCTTTTGAGATCGAGATCGGGATCGAGAACGGGGCAACGCTGATTTGGACCCAGTCCAAGGAGTCGAGAGCTAGAACGAGAGAGGGAAGTATAAAAATCTCAGATCGCTATTGCTTCCCCCGCAGCTTCTTTTCCCCCCCTACTTTATTTATTATTATTTTTGAGAGAGAGAGAGAGAGGGGGGGGGGGGGGGGGGAAGGAAGATAAAAAGGACAAATTTTCAAAACCAACTTGACCAAAAACTAAATTGTAAAAATCGGCTTATTTTTAAATTAGTTATCAAATTCCACCCAAATTTAGCCCGTCGGCTGAAACGGGATCGAATTTGGGAAAAAAAAATTACGAAACTTCATGGGACTTCTGAAGTCCCGTGAAGTTTAAGCCCCCGATAATCAAACTGATTAGGGGTTATATAAGTTCACGGGACTTGAAGTTTCGTGAATAATTTTTTACTTGGCCAAACTTCACGGGACTTCAAGTCCCATGAAGTTTCAGCCTGAGATTCTAGCTAATCTCCAACCGCCCTCTTCATCTCCTTCGTCGTGGATCCTCGTCTCTTACCTCCCATCCAACTGAAATCTTCCCCATTTCTTTATTCCCACAAAGATTCTTTGAAACCCCTCCCATCATTTTTTCATCTTATTCTCCCCAAAAAAAACCGTCAACAGAACTCTCTCTCCTCCTCCTCTCTTATGATGCTGACATTCGTCCTCGGGCCGCTTCTTCGCTCTCCCCGCCCCCTTCTCAATCGACGCCAACCTGGGTCAAAATCCAAACGAAAATCCGAACCTCGTCGGCGATTGTCTTGGCAGCGCGAGAGAATTCGTCGATGGCCCAATTAAGGTCGAGTGTGCTTGGCTCTCGAGGAAGGTGTCGTTGTTGTTGCATTTGGTGGAGAGATCAGGGAGTTTGTGAGAGGAGGAGATGAGGGCTCTTCTTCATCAGCGGCGTCGGCGTCTCCGACTTCTTATTTGGGGAATTTGATGGCTGCCCTCGAGGCGATTAAGAGGTTTCTAAATTCCAGAGAGCAAAGCTCTATGGAATATATGTCTGAAATTTTGAAAATTTTCACGGGACTTCAAGTCACTGAAAGAACCCTAGGGGGTGAATAGGGTATTTGTTAATCTAATCCGATATTAATGCCAAATTTAAAACACATTAACTAATATATCATAATAACGTAATATATAATAAAATATGCAGGGATATACAATTAAACAATGGGCGAAATAAACATGAACACAAGAACAAGAGAGATAGTGCACAAATAACAAACACAAACACAAGGCAAATGATCACGGAGTTCGGTCGACTCACGAACTACATCTCCTCTCCTCACCCTCGAGGAGAATCTCTACTATCTCAAAAATACTACACAATTGGTTTTTGAATGCTCACCGATAAACGTTTATAACTCACATAATTACAATCACACAATATACTCCTCTAAGTGTTCGGCTAGCCCGTGTCACATTCCTCAAGTGCTTAGAATTACAACCTCTTCCTAGGATTTACAACCGACGTCACTCCTCTTGGAATTGATCCTGCCTCTCACTAACCATTCCTCCAAGTGTCCTTGTGTATTATAACGTGTGCTCTCAACAATAAATCTCAAATAAAGAGTTTGTTCTCTAATAAGAATGAGAACAAAATTAAGCTCACACTTAATGTATCACTAACCACAACCCAAATAATACTTAATGTGAAATACTAAAAGTTCAATAGCACTACAACAAAACTGTTTTTTTATAGCGTTGAATGATAGCGTTTATGTTGTAAGTGCTATAAATTGTATGTGCCTTATTTTTTAATAGCGTTTGAAAAATTTTAAACGCTATAAATAATTGATCACTTTTTTTTTGTTAAGCCGCGTTGAAATCTTAAGCGGGAGACTGAAAAATAAACCCGTGCGTTGAAAACGAGGGAGAGATTGGTGTTATTTTCGTTTCCTTTTATTTTTCTAAAACCCCCCACGAATAATCAGTTCCCGTTCCTTTTCTTTCACCCAAACCCTAACAGCCCTCCGACTCGTCGCTGCCGCCTCGGAGTGCAGCATCTCGTCGTCGTTGCCGCCTCCAAACCCGACCCTCCTTTTCTTTGATCACCGGAGACAGACCCCTCCTCGGCTCCTCGTCTCTCATCCACCGCCGGAGCCCCTCCTCGTCTCTCGTCCACCGCCGGAGCCCCTCCTCAATAGCTAGGTTGTATGTGCAATCAATGAGTAAATAAAAATATAAACTCAATTAAAATCTAGCTTATAGAAATGATAAACAAAATATAATTGCTAGAGATTGAGTTTAGAAAAACTTCTCTGAAAACAAGAGAGATGGAGATATGAAAATTTGAAGCTCAAATCGAAATGATCTCCTCTTCTTGTAAAACTCTCTTCACATAAACAATACGCTTAATTTTTCTTAAAAACTCTTAAACAAACTTGCAAAAATGTTTTTTAACTTTTTCTTAGTTAGTTATAAGTGTTGAGGACAGAGGGGTATATAGGGGTTCTTAATACAATAGGCCAAAGCCAAAAAATAGATAAAAATCCCCCAAAAATCGGATCTGGGAAAACTAGCCGTTGTAGGCAACGACTCTCTAAGCGGTCGACTGATAGTGTGCTATCGGTCAACTGATATAGAAATGGGGAGGCCGATCGGATATCGTTCCGATGCCGATGAGCCCTGATAATAACATGTAGATAACAAGCTTGAATCCACAAGCTCTAATTTTTCTAAGTTTAGGGAAGAAAACAATTGAGAAATTTCTCTTAATTTAATAATTGAAAAGTTTATTCTCGATTTACAAAATAAACTAATATTTATAACCAACTAACCCTATCCTAACCTTAATAAAAAAAGTCCGAATTTAAAAGGAAATAACCGAAAATATGGAACTTTTCTAATCTGTTTTCGAGTCGACACGAGACGTGGCGAGTAGTAACACCTTTCGTGTCGACTGATATGTGTCGACTAACACTGCCCTTCGTGTGGACTGGCATGTGTCTGTTAGACCCTAGAGGGGGGTGATTAGGGTCTTATGCTAATCTAATCTGATTTTATGCCAATTAAAACTAATAACAAGTTATCCTAGCAAGTATGAAATACACCAAGATATATGAGCTAGGATAATCAATATGAAGAAAGAGATATATCCTAGCAATGAGATATACGCAAGGATATACAAAATAACACAAGGGTGAAGTAAACATAAACAAAACAAGAGTGATAGTGTCACGCCCCGCTTCCCAAAATACCCGGGAATCGGAACATGAACAAGCCCGCGACGTATTAGATTGAGAAGAAATATACACTGCTTTTTTTTTCTTTTCTTTTCTTCTCAATCCAATACGCTAAGCGTCTGGAAATAAGTACAATACGAAGGCACAGGTCCCCGATCACAAACAGCAAGAATATATAATAGACAACTCAGAATAAAAGAATACATATCATATCACAAATGAATATCATCCAAGACATAATGATACGGGTCAACATGCCCTTATACAAACTAACTGAATGAAATACTGGAGAATATAATAATACTGATCAAATGGAAATAAAAGGTAGTACAAAAGAAAACTGAGGACCAATAACTAAGCTTTAGCTCTTCTTCTGCTCCATCCGCTAGGCACTCCTACTAAGAATCATTTGCCTCCTGACGATCTCCAAGCTGGACCTGTTCTTCTCCTAAGTCTGACGTACACCAGAGAAAACAGGTGTACGTCAGGTGCATGGCACACGGCAAGACCCGACCCCACAAAGAAAATAGAACGAACGGAAATCCAATGTGAAAAATGATACGATAACAGAAACAACAAAAGAACGTACAATTGAAATCCACAAATCAACATGAAAACACTACTAAATCATGATAATATAAAGCATCCAGAATCGTTCAGGTAACGAGATCATGTAGCTAGCGATCAGTCTAATCATCCAAGTAACAGGAGCATACAATAGATGGAATTAATACCTAAAAATCTACAACTCGAGACGTAGTATGTCGAGCGAAATAATCCAAACAAGGAAACCCTCATGTATATACCATATGTCTCGAATTGTAGATAATTAAATATTAATCCCAACCTATGTATGAAAAGGAAGTACAACTGACCTACATCTCACAAGAATCCATAAATCCTAACCAAAGTGACGACACCGATTCACCTTGACCCAACAAATCAACCACAGTGGCGACACCGATCCACTGGTAACAAGTCATGTAACTAGCCATCCTATAACAGGTCACTGGTTCACATCTCACACAGAGTCAACGATCATATTATCGGATAACTGACTATTCGCATATCCTCTACGTGCATCTCATCAAATAAATTCAGGAATCAAAGTAGCGACACTGATCTACTTTGACCCAACCAAACAGTTCCCAGTGGCGACACCGATCCACTGTGACTCAACAAACCAACGCCAGTGGCGACACCGATCCACTAGTACAAACCTAGAAGATATATCAACAGTCTTATCCGATTTTATAAACATAGACTTTCCCACCCCAACTCATCTTGTTTTTCTAAGTCAACAACATACAAGTCTCTAGGTCTTACTCACGTCACACAGGTCATTCTAGTCATAAACTAATAACGATTCTCAATACAATCAGGAACAATAAAAGCAGACATGTCAAATACAGTAAAATAATCACAAACATGAAATGTAATCATGAATCAGCAACTACGTACTTCAGAAAATAATTCATTTCCCAAAATAATTTCTTTTATGAAATGTAATCATGAATCAGCAACTACGTACTTCAGAAAATAATTCATTTCCCAAAATAATTTCTTTTAAAAATTATTTCTCATTATAATAATCCAAAATATTCTCTTTCTAGAATAAATTCTTTAAAATTATTTCTCATCAATTATTATTCTAAAATAATTCTTTTTCTCAAAATAAATTCTTTTTAAATATTATAAATTCTCCAAAATGATTCCGTTATCAAAATAAATTCTTTCACTTCATTATCATTATTCTGAAAATATTATTTATCACATAACTATAATTTAAATCAATATTATTCATCAAACCCACGTAGATAATAACAATTATAAATTAACATAACCAGATAATTCACCAATTCATCAACAAGCCCATGCAGATAATAACAATTCATAATCTAATATATGCGACTAATTAACGACAGAT